TAATAAGTATGTTAATCCTATATCTGGTGATGGCTTACTAAGTGGTGATGAATTAGCTTCCGATTCCGATAGTTTAGTTCCATCTAAAGAATTTCAACGTCACTCAAAGACTAATATCTCTCGCGATAACATCTGAGTATATTGCTGACTCTTGTTATACTCAAAACATATAGTGATTCCACTGATAACAAAACTGACCCTTCACTAGCCACGCCGAAAAAAGATTAAAAAGTGGAAATCATAAAATATGTTTTGATGATTTGCCTGAATGCCATAAATGTCTTCTTTGCGACTACAAAACTTTGCACTACTTGACACTATTTGCAAAATGTACGGTTCTCTTATGTTACAACGACAAACGAAACTGTTTTTCGGCATTTCATGATTAAAATTGCAATGGTAATTTATATTATTACTAAAATTAAAATGTATACCGTAATCCTTTCTTTATTTTATATGAACCCATATATGTCTACAGTAATTTAGATTAAAATTTCTTTGGGCGCATACGAACCCATATTTGATTTTACCCTAGATTTTTTTTCAGTTTTTATGAGTGTTTTTTTTATTTCGTGATTATAATTAATTTTAGCATGAAACGAGCCGTGATAGCCACGGGTGCTCGCCTTTAATTTATTGTACGGTAGGTACTCAGGCAACCTGAGTTCGACCCCCGGTGCCAGCCATCCGGTGCCATCGAGAGGAAACCTACATATTTTCGAAGAAAAAAAAATATTTCGAAGATATGTGAAGTCCGCACTTCCGCAGTGGGGCGGCGTGGCAAGGGCGGATCCAGCTTTGGTGCCAGGGGGGGGGGGGGGGGGGGTCACGTATTCGTGGTCAAGTGATAAGTAGGTATTTTTAACCGATTTCAAAAAGAAGTAGGTAGGTTAAATCACGCACTTTCTTAGATAAGTTCAAATGAATGTAATTAATTAATTACGAGTGATTTTTAAATATTTATCATTTTTTATATAACTTTATTTATTTATTTCTTCTTCACCAGATTTTATGTAGTCGTATTGGTTACAATATTTTCTATTCCTCTACTCCGCACGCTGGCTCCACTTCAATGACAAGTAGCCCAAGACGGGACTATCTGGACAAGGGTATAATGATAATATATAATCAACCCAAATGAAAACTCCTAAAATAGCTGCACTCAAAATAAAATTACATCGTCTACGTTAAAAAAATGTTCATAAATATCAAAAAAAATTATAATAATATAAATAACTATAAACCCAACCAGACAAGAAAACAAATAAATATCCCCAACATAACAATAATATGTTATCTTCGGTTGTTCCATGCTTTCTAACTTTGAGTATCTGCATAGTAGCCAGAATCCTACACCAGGAGCTCGCTCTGAAATACGGTCTCGCAGATCGGAAACTGCTGTACTACAAGTACTCTCCGGAGGCCGTGTGATTGTCGCGAACAAACCTGATATCGTGTTGATGGACCGGGCACAGTCGCGGGTATTTTTGGTCGACATTACCATTCCATATGACGAGAACCTCGTGAAAGCCGAAATAGATAAGAAGACGAAGTATCTGGACCTGGCTCACGAGGTGACCGACATGTGGGGTGGTGTGCCGACCGAAATTATCCCAATAGTCGTATCTGCGAATGGGTTGATCCCAGTCAGCCTCTCCGGACATCTGAGGCGACTGGGACTCCGGGACGGAACGCTCCAAGCTCTAATGCAGAAAGCGGTGCTTCTCGATACCGCCCGTATCGTCCGCCGGTTTTTCTCCCTTTCACCCTAACCCTCGGCCGTTTGGTCTCCCCTGCCGAGGGCTTCCGTCTGGTTGGGTCCTATTTATATATGTATTATATACAATATTTATATCTATATGTTTATTTTTATTTATAATATTTATGTTATATATGCAATATCTCTATGTTTATTTTTTATTTATAAACCCAACCAGACCAGAAAACAACTGAATATCCCCCCATAATAATACTTTATTTGTCATAACCCAAAAAAATAGAAAATTACATAGATAAATATGAAAAAAAAAATATAAAACAAACTATGATACACAAAAAAACTATATAAATAACATTTTGGCAAAAAGGTAATAAGCTCAGCGATTTCTGAGAATTTCTCAGTGCTGATTTTCAGCTTATCCCTTAGTAAAGCTTTATATCATCATTTACAAATATTAGTGGTAGTTGGCATATTTTGTTCAAGTTGTATTTGATAATGTAATGTAATAACGATAATAACACAAATTAAGAAGACTCAAAAGAAGATTTAGACAAGAGAACAAAAAATAATCAAATCGTATACAGTGAAAAATACGATGTGAAATTAAAAATTTGATAAATTAAAATTAAAAGATAGTCACTAAGTTAAAATTAGTATTTAATGTTGCTTTAATTTTGATTTTGAACCGAACACAACTTTTGTTTATTGAACAAGGAGAGCCTGAGTTGTTTTGTAAAATTATAATTCGACACACTCATTCGTAGTGGTGGTGGTAAATCATTCCCTATCTTTGAGGCACTAAATCGGAAACTACTTTTGAAACCCTCCCCTTTATGCTTCGGTAACTCAACTGCACTATTCTGACTACCGCGGGTATGTTTGCATTGCTTGAAAGTAAACTTGTTGATAAGGTAATCTGGTTTCTTTTCCATCATTACCTTGCGAACCATATTGGCAAAATGTAGTTACCTGCGTGCTGCCATTTTCATAGTACCTTTCTCATTGAGATACGGGGTTAAGTGCGCCCGGCGTGGGATGTTGTAGCAGAATCTAGCGCATGCATTTTGAACATCCTGAATCGCGCGCTAATACTATTTAATAATATTCAGTTATTCATTCATAATATTCAGCGCTCATCCATCTAATCAAAGACAGAATCCTCATTCATAAGAAACGGAAGGAACAAACTTTATTTCCCAAAGAAGGGATTGCATACTCACGTCCACTAAACCACCACATTTCACATCCCATCAAAAACGGTTCACCTATTAAGACGAATCAAACTCGACTCAGTTGTGTTCCTTAATAACTGAGTTCCTATGGCCACATTCCAGCTCTGTCATCAGACCCTGGTTACCATCTAACACCAAAGAACTCGTCATGACGGATCAAACGAGCCGAGACACAATAGGGTTGCGTCGTTTCTTTACTGAGTTCATATGACTATCTTCCAGCTCCATCATCAGATCAGTCCCTGGTAACCATCCAAAAATTAAGTACTCACCAAGAATCAAACGAGCTGAAAGTCGATGGGGTTAAGTCGTTTCATTACAGAGTGCTCATAGGAACCTCACAGAATAGCCTCATAGACCTCACAGGAGATCGGCGAAAAGTACTTCTGCGTTTTATCTGGTGAGTGAGGTAGCCGGATCCCACTTTATTATAAGGAGAAAACGCATCTGCAACCCTATGCATATGTCCATGGACGGCTGAAGATGGCATTCCATTATTAGATCCTGGTTACCAATGAAAGAGAAACTACTCGTCAATACGATTCAAATGTACCCAAACGCGATGAGGCTTTGTCGTTTCATTTCGAAGTTCCATTGGCCTTCTTCCAGCTCCATCATCAGATCAGCACCATGTCAGCAAATATTGCATTGTGACGCGATTTACACATGTATACAAAATTTCAGCTCAACCGGTAACCGGAAAGTAGATCAAATTTAATTTGCAAGAGTTGATGACAAACATTAAAATATTGTAAAAATGTTTATAAAATGAAAACTACTTGTCCAAACTATGGTAAATTTTTATGGAACCAAATGGCAACTATTCTGCATCAAACTAAAGAAGAATCTCGTAAATCGGATCATAAATCTCAACGTAATCGGTGAAAACGAATCGAAAAAAAAATATACCAATCGAATTGAGAAACTCCTCATCATCATCATTTCAGCCTGTTTGAGTCCACTGCTGAACATAGGCTGCCATGAAGCACGATCCTGAGCCACCTGCATCCATCGACATCCCGCACATTTGCACAGGTCGTCACTCCATCTAGGGGGGAGGTCGTCCTACACTGCGATGGCCAGTGGCTGCCACTCGAGAACCTTTCTTCCCCAACGGTTATCGGTTCTACAACCTATATGGCCGGCCCATCGCCACTTCAGCTTGCTAATCCTCTGAGCTATGTCGGTTATCTTAGTTCTACTGCGGATGTTTTCGTTACGAACTCTATCACGCAGAGAAATACCGAGCATGGCCCGCTCCATAGCTCGCTGAGCGACTTTGAGCTTCCTCATACGGCCAGCAGTGCCCCCCCCCTCCTGAATCCGCCCTCCCCCCCCCTGAATCCGCCCTTGCCGCGTGGTGGACTATACCTTGATACTACACCCTATGTACAGAGACTGCCCAGCAGTGGGACATGTATAGGCTGATACTTTACTTTTAATTAATTCTATAGTTAAAAAAGCAAAAGCTACCATCAAATACTTTTTTCATCATTTTATTCATAATTCATGCAGTAAAGGGTTAAATATAAACTAAAAAAATGTTTTAATAGAACTCCCATTGTATTTCTCCTATATCTCTCTCCATCTCTCACAACAAACGTAAATATAGCCTGTTTTAAGCTTATATTTTTATAATAAAATGAGAGAAAAATAAGTTAGGAAAAATATGTTGTGTTTTTAAAATTATTTCCTATTTGACGCAATTAGCAATGTAATCAAAACGGAAACAATTTTTTTTTCAATTATGAGAATCTATGTAGGCGTTACATTCGGTTAATAGTTTGTTACAGATAAATTTAATTTTTATTCTATTGTATAGAATCTTGAATAAATAAACCAAATAATTATCGTAAACGACTTTAGGACTGTTTATATGATAGGTATTGTTTATGCCTAACAGAACATAATTTTATTTTAACTATTTTTAACGTGGTCACACAAAAGCTACGTGGAAAAAAAAGCAGATTTGTCTATTCGCCATTAAAATGGCGTCATCGAAGGAAACTTATTGTTTGTGTGGTCAGCCATATAACATTGGACAGTTTATGATAGAATGTGATTGTTGTCGTGAATGGTTTCACGGGAGGTAAATTCAGAAAAATATAAAGTTTTGTGTTAAAGTAGCGTTGTGTGTTAATAAAAGTGATTTCGATTTGACAGAACAGCCCGCTGTTCGGCCATCATATTATTCTTAATTTTTTTATAAGAAATTACTGTAATTTTTTTAACATACTGAAGTTTACTTTATCGGTTTATTGCCGGATATATACGTTCTTTATTTTTCAACAGTGTTATATATCCGCTGTTATTTAATTTTCTTGTTTACAAGTGCGGTCTCCATGGATCTAACAAGTGTATTATTTTGGATCGGTCTTTGTATGCGCATAGTGAATTGTCTTTATTAAATTAAGTGTTCTTTTCTATGTGGCAGATATTTAGTCACTCAGTTTTGGATAACGCTCCTCAATATATATACAAGCATTGACAAGGAGACTTCTAATTCATGATCATTCTTTTTCGATAATTTAAACTGAATAAATTAACAATGAGTGAATATTTGTTTTCAGTTGCGTTGATGTAAAAATTTACCACTCCGATGATATAGACAAGTACCACTGCCCAAAATGTGCCCAAACTTATGGACCTTCTGTGTGTAAGTATTATAGAATTATGCTCTATTTATCTAATTCCAAATGCCTTATGTGGTCTATCCAAGACAGCAGGCAAAAGAAAAAATAATATATTTATGCAAAGTGTAAGTGAAAGTAAAAAAGTGCAAAGCACTCTTGAATAGTAAATATATTATTTTTACCTACTTTTATTTAAAATTGTTATCTTTCCATTTTAAACCCAAATTTTAATTAAATAAAGAGATAATAATTTGTAATTGTGGCTTGGTCAACTTATGAGTTGTGGATGCTGAGATTTTCCATAAAAGGAAGCTATGTGTCTTGGTTTGCACATGGACAATGTTATGCGCAGATACTATGTCATTAGAATAAGTTAACCACAATGGCCACTTTTGTTCAGTTTATGAAATAAATTGCTTTTTCAATTGATTATTTATTTTTACATACTGAAATTATTACTGTTGTTTTTTTTTTCTTTTTAAAAACTATGTTTCAGTTGTTTGTGTTTAGGATTTTTATTCAAATTATAAAATTTATATGTCAGTGCACATGTTCCAGCAATTGGCTTATTTTTTACCTTGCAAATAGTATCATAATTTTAAAATAAAATATATCAATGTAGATGTATTGTTATGATACTTTTCAGTGAAAATCCCCACAAACAATCACAGAGCGGATCGTTACGAGTTGAGTGCAGAGACCCGACCATCACAGGTTGGTTCACCGGCATGGGTGAGAGCATTAGCAGCACGACCATTGCGTCCAGCGTCTGCTGCACTACAGAGAATGAGGGGACACCAGTTTACAGAGGAGTTCATAAAAGACAATGGTTAGAGAATGTACACTTGGTATCAAAATTAACTTTTTGTGTCACATAAGCTGTTCTATACCATTTAGTCTTGTTAACCAAAGGTTATTGAGATGCTTAAAATAACAAAGAGATACATGTTAAGTGTAAACTAATAATTAAATGAGTATTGGAATTACACTACATCCACTAACGTAACTAGTTCAAATGTATTGCAAATGTATAATATAACAGATTGTATAATCAAAACAGTTTTGACTTACATAATTAAATAATTATTCAAGGAAAAGCCAGACAATAAATGGCTTCTTACATAATTAATAATGAATTAATATTGTTTCATTATTGATATTAACAGTAATTAATTCAGTTAATCTAGTGAAAAACTCTGTGTTTTCAGTATTTTTTGTTACAAACAAATTGTTAATTGAAATGGGGCTATTATTTTAGTTTACCACTAGATTTTCAATTGCCATGGCAAAGCAGCCTCTTACTAAACAATATGTTTGATGAAATTGGTTCATTTGCACATTGTCATTATTCAGATAACCTTTTTTCAGATTTGCAATTTAGCTTCAATCTGTTCTATGCACCAATGTATTTTATTACTATTTGATTAAAATTGTTATATTATATGCATTTCAATGATTTATTGTTGTAAATATATTTGTATTTTGCAGGGTTTACACGTCCAGTGGTTTTCCATACACCTGAGGGTCTGGACATCAAAGTGCCTAATCCGGCCACATTCACTGTTAGGTCAGTGCTAAGGTTCTGCGGCGCACAGTTAGAGGTATATTCTTAAATGTCACTAATAATTTGTGTTTCTACAAATTGGTTGTCTTAGAACAGTTTAGTTATTAACATTGAAAACTATGTTATAATTTAACCTACTCATATATACCTATTTCTTTGAAAATGCTTATAATATTTTGACAATAAATCCATCTCTATATTGATGACTGCAACAGTCTGTTTAGAGTCCACTGCTGAACATAGACCTCTCCCAGACTGCCATGAAGCACCATCCTGAGCCACCGGCATCCATCAACTTCCCGCACATTTGCACACGTTGTCACTCGATCACTTATGGAGGTGAATAATCAAGTTTAATTAATTACAGGTTGAAGTGATTGATGTTCGCAAACAAACAACTATGCGTATGCCCTTGGGTGATTTTGTGGATTACTTTGAGACACCACCTGAACACCGGGATGAGAAAGTTCTTAATGTGCTGAGTTTGGAGTTTTCAGAGACCAAGTGAGTGAACTAAAATTTTTTTGCTATTTTAGCGCCAAATAGGCCTTGTACGTCTTATTCTTGACACTTCTTTATTTTACTAAATGATAAAATAAAGTAAATACATGACTGGAACAGAATACCAGGAGTAATATGATTTTAAGAATACTAAGTTTATTATTATGCATCCTATTCGTCTTTCTCCAGCCATTATGCCACCTTTGTGAGTTAGGGTCCAAAATATGGTCTTATAATGTAATAGGCTTGATTTTTACTGAGTGTTCATCTGCCTGATGTCAACCCTCCTTAGAAGTAAACACACAGATTTGGAAAAATTATCTGTAAGACACAAATACTTGTCCCATGTTAATTAATCAAAATAATAATCCCTGGTGTTGAAGCCCATAGCTTAACACCTACATAACAGAGTTATTATTATTGGACCAACTAACATTTATTTACAAAAAAAAAACTGAGAAAGCATTTAGAAGCCAACTTTAAACAAAAAATTAATTACTAATTAATTACAATGACTAGATGATTCAATACATCAGTTTTAATTAAAAGTTAATCAAGTCCATACCTTCATCTTTGAGATGTCTATTAGTGCCTAAATATTTTTAAATGAGATTTTTTTGGTAATGCCTAAAATTGCTACCAGTTAACAATTTTCAATTTGGCTAAATGCTAATTGAAGTCACTGATTGCAATTTTTTTTATGTGAAAAGTTGCCAAACGAGCAGGCGGTTTACCTGATGGTAAGTGAATACCGCCGCCCATGGGCATCTGCTACACCCGATGGTTACAGATGCATTGACAACCTTTTGAAAATTGGGCTCCGGCTACCTCACTCACCAGACGAAACGCGAACGTATTTGTCATACTTCCACTTTATGCTGGTCTTCTGTGAGGTTGTGGTACTTACCCGGACGGGCCTGCCCATTCGTGCAACAGCCGAGACTGCTGCATGGCCCTACCACCATATTGATATTTATATGTAAACTAGCGGCCCGCCCCGGCTTCGCACGGGTATTTAACAAAAATTTTAAAATTAAAAATTATCACACACATACATAAAACCTTCCGAATATTTCGTCTTTGGTGAATAATTTTATGAATTTCTTCATCTTTTAATGAAATACCCTTGAAATTACGTCATGAAGATCGAAAGACCGCTGACCAGATAATGGTTCCGCTTTAATTACGGGACATTCCGGGTTACACGTAAAAATGACAAATAAGTCAGGTCTCCCATAGCTTTGGGCATAAATCATCGCATCTTGGGTTTTTAATTGGAGAACCTGTAAATCAATATGACGTTGCAGATTTAGCGTTGAACTATGATGGGTCAAAGTCTTGATTTAAAGCGTCTCTAAGATGAATGTTTCACCAGCCCCAGTCTCTGGAGATTACGACATAATATGTAATTCAATGTATGTATTTAATATGGCAGTCTATGTTCAGCAGTGGACTCAAATGGGCTAAAATGATGATGATGATGATGATGATGTAATTCAATCTTTCTGGTATCATTTTTGCCATCATATCGACAATGTATTGAATAAAAACCGGCCAAGTGCGTCGTAGTCCCACACGAAGGGTTCCGTACCATTCCATTTGGTAGTAATTTCACTGTGGACCCCACGCAAAAGTGTTCACTGTTGCACGAATGGGCAGGTCCGTCCGGGTAAGTACCACGACCTCACAGAAAACCGGCGTAAAGTAGATGTGTTATACATACTTCTGCGTTTCGACTGGTGAGAGAGGTAGCCGGGGCCCACTTTATTTAAACATGGCAACGCATTTGCACAACCCCACAGGTGTTGCAAATGCGTTGCCCTACAGGGCAGCGGTTATCACTTAGCATCAGGTGAACCGCCAGCTCGTTTGCCACTTTGTCACATAAAAAAAATCAAATTTAAATATCTTTATAGAAGTATTACACTTACTTATTGTCAAAAAACACTACTACTATTAACATTATCTATAAAAACGGCAAAAAATCATGTCTGTTTTATGGGAGCCGCACTTATTTATATTTTTCTTATTTTTTCGTATTTGTTGTTATAGCGGCAACAGAAATACATCGTTTGTGAAATTCACAACTGTCTATGTTCTAACTATGTATGGTTCATAAGATACAGCCTGGTGAAATATGGACAGACAGACTGACAGACAGCGGAGTCTTAGTAATAGGGTGCCGTTTTACCCTTTGGGTACGGAACCCTAATAAGTCACTGTAATAATGCAATGGATTATTAAAACAGGTCGCTAACCATCAACTAATATGGGGGAGGCTATGTTCAGCAGTGGACTCAAACAGGCTGAAATGATGAACCATCAACCTAAATGCATTAAATTGCATGCATGTCACAGTTTTGTTACGCACTGTACCTTACTGAGGAATAATCAAATAACCGTCTTCTTCCATTACGACGATTAAGGGATATTGTAGTGGATCAAGCAATCGGTGTAACTCAGAGACCCTTTTAAGATGGCCGTGTCTACCGTGCAGCACTATATCTCTGGGGTATTTTTAGGGTTCAGTACCCAAAGGGTAAAATGGGACCCTATTACTAAGATTCTGCTGTCTGTCTGTCCCTCTGTTAACAGGCTGTATCTCATGAACCGTGATAGTTACACAGTTGAAATTTGATCTGGGTGTTGGTTTCCTAAGGAGGATTAACGTCAGGCAGGCGGCTAGTTGTAAAAATATGGCCAAAACCGCGTACAACATGATTCATGTTGTTCCGACCCCACCTAGGTGGGATAGGGGCAGGAGGATGATGATGACTTGTAAACTTGTCCCTCTATTTTAAAAGTTCGCGTTAAACGAAGTGATTTGAAAGAGGCTATTGTACTTTCGGATGTTGGTTAAAAATGTCCAGATGGTGAATGATTATTTATCAAATGATTTTCTATTCGCTGTGGCGGCTTCTTAATATTGGGGAGACTAACTTTTCCAGAAGCACAGCACATACCATTTATTTCATCGACCCATTTTTAGGTAGAAAACTGAGCAGATCTTATTCATCGCTTCGAATTGGAGGGAAGACTGTTGAGCATAATGCCTGAAAGCTGATCTGTTACTGTGAGCTAAAACTCGATTACGACCTCTAGTCGTTGACATTTGTTGTCTTTCTCTCTAATCTCGTAGGCGTTGGGAACGCTGAGCTCGATTCCCTAGTGTGAATTTGTATATTAATATTAATTTGCTCTTCAAGCCACTGCAAACACTCTACTTGACTCTCTCCGACTTGTAAGTTTCCGGTAAAGATTCTACGACGTATTTTTGATGCCCTCGCTTGGGAAGAGAGTTTAGAAAAAGTTTCTAGAAAGATGAGATCCTGATCTCTGGGCATTTTAAAATGATGGTGAACAGGAATTACCAGTATAAATGTGATTGAAAAATTATAAGAACTACTAAGTCAGTCACTAAGCTGTTTGGATGGTTAAATTACAAAATACTAACATTTTTTAACTTGCAATATCTAAGGAATGGAATGTCCGAATTGAATAAAGCAAAAAGTTATATAAAGATATTGAAACTGTCTTAAATATGAAGTAATTTATTTTTTTAAGGATTAAGACCAAGATACAAATAAACAGCCTTTTCTAGCGGCGGCATTTCGATAAAAATTTTAAAATAAAAGAACACTTATTGTGGCATAACTATAATAGTTAGACATATGCTGTCGCGACACTTTTTGTAAATAATGATGTGTTCTACAAAGTCGTAGTACATTATTTTATTCTATCATCAATAGTTTTCACAGCGCACACGATGTAAAGAATATTTTAGGTAATTTTTGTACACCTTGAGTAACATTATTGGAGTTTTAATAAGGATCCCTAAGTTTTTTGAAAATATAATATAGCCTATATCAAGCAGGGATAATGTAGCTCCCCAACAGTGAAAGAATTTTTCAAATCGGTTAAGTAGTTTCGGAGCCTATTCAATACATACAAACAATCAAATTTTTCCTCTTTATAATATAGAAGAAGATTAGAGTTTTTTTTAACACAAACCAACTGTATTTAGACAATCTTCAGAAATCAAGAGTGCAATGTGAAGGTTTATTTTTATTGCAATCACCACATAGGCTTTAACCAGAAATGTACTGCTTATGAGCAGTTTGTTCTCATCCCGCGATGTGTTACTTCATGTATAGTTTTCTTTACTTTAGATTGGCCGTTAGATTGTAGCTGTGCTAGGGCCGCGCGTAAGTGGCCCGCTCTAACACAGTAAAAGTCATTATCTTAATTTTTTTAGCAAAGAAGAAAGAAACAAATGTTAATTCAGGGTCCAACCACAGTAGACACAGAAGTCCGAGCGGCATAAAATCAGTATCTCCATATTCACAATAATAAGGGACATTGGAAATCCTCCCTTGCCCTTGGTGGCCGAACGGTCACCAGCGCCCGTCGTGGGTTGGGTGGTTGCAGCCTGGCGCCGCTGGTGGAGCCGCCGGCGGTGGCGCGCGCGCTGGATTGGGCGCGGCGCGTGTGGCCCTGCGCCGAGGAGCGGCCGCCGCGGCCCTGCGTGCAGCGCTACTGCCTCATGTCCGCGGCGGGCTCCTACACCGATTTCCACATCGACTTCGGCGGCACCAGCGTCTGGTACCACGTGCTCCACGGCCGCAAGGTGGGCGACCGTGCCGGTCCGATGACCCTCTTTGTGGGGTTCCGTATCCGAGGGGTGGCTTATTAAGGCTCTGCGGCCTCTCTGTCTGTCTGTCGCTCTGTCACCGGGCCGTACGGGCAGTGCTCACGAACCATGATAGTTAGAAAGTTGAAGTTTTCCACAAATAGCCGCTGTAAGAATAAATAACGAAAATCAAAATAAAAATATATTTAAGCGTGTTCATGCTGGAAAGTACTCAAAATCTAAAACAATTTAATTTCTTTCAATATTTGCTGATATTTACGTTCACCACTATGTGCGGATATTTGTTTTATGTCATTTGTCATCGATGAACTTTAATTTGGACGCAAACAATCAAGTCTTGTGAGCTATTGTAATAATAGCTGTTTATTACATTTTCAGATATTCTACCTCATACCTCCGACATCAACCAATCTTGCTCTGTATCAGCAATGGACCCCAGCAAATCATCAAAATGAGCGTTTTTTTGGTGATGCGGTAAGTTTCTATCAATAAATTTAGTAAACCTTTGTACACTTGTTATCAAAGTTTTTTTTATGAGAACGTGAAAAGCGAGCCCTGATGACCCTCTTAAAAATGAAATGTTAATTGATATTCGCCGCCCTGGATATTCGCAACACCCGTAGGGTTGCAGACGCATTGGTACATTTTAATAGAGTGGGTCCCAGCTACCTCACTCACCAGACGAAACGCAAAATTACGACACTGCCACTTCACGCCGGTCTTCTGTGAGGTATGTAATTGACTTTTCGTTTCTGAAGACTTGGTTGCTCCATTGTCGTGTACTATGGATTCCTTAAGCTTATATGTACACTGGGATTTGAAACCGTTAGCTGGTATCTCAAGGACGGCGTTATATGTCATATGTGAAGTAGTCAAAGTAGGCATAACTTCACCAAAAATTTTATTTTATTAAACCATACAAATTGTGTATGTTAAAAAGATAAAATTCTGACCTCTTAGTTTGTTATTTCTTCTTTATCAGGGTTGTTTACCCTTGTTATCAAGGAGCAATCCCTCCAGATTCAAGGTACTTTAAATACTTAGGTATAGACCACAGGAAAAAATATTTTATGCATAAAAGTATAGTCATACCTGTGAGCTAAAAAACATAAATTTAAACGGCCTTATCTTTGAAATACATTGTGACATACATGACAACATATCTTTGAAAAACATAAATTAAAAAGGCCTTATCATTGAAATACTTTGAAATAAATACACAGTGTTGTTTGGATATTACTCTTATGTAATACTTGTAATCTGGTGCAAGAGTATACATTTTTGTAGTATCAAATTGTGAATGGTTTGTATCAGTAACGGTGGTGGGGCCCCGCAGCAGCCTCGGCTGTTGCACGAATGGGCAGGCTCGTCCGGTTAAGTACCACGACCTCACAGAAGACCGGCGTAAAGTGGAAGTATAATACTTTCACGTTTCGTCTGGTGAGTGAGGTGGCCGGAGCCCGATTTTCAAAAGGTTGTCAACACATCTGGAACCCTAGTGTGTTACAGATGCCCATGGGCGGCGGTATTCACTTAACATCAGTGGAACCGTCTGTTCGTTTGGCGAATTTTCACATAATAAAAAAACAGAACTAGTGATATATACGTGTGTATTATTTATTCATTTTATTTTATACCTATTTACTATTATGTGAGTGTCATATAGTTTTGACAATAAAGAATATCTGTACATTCTCAGGTGGAGTGGTACGGCACGGCTGAGGTTTGTGCCGGTGAGACCCTATTCATCCCAGCGGGCTGGATCCATGCGGTACTGACGCCCTGTGACTCTCTAGTCTTCGGCGGCAACTTCTTGCACTCCTACGCGGTCGAGATGCAGTTGCAGTGAGTTGCCGTTCACACCTCTCTTCTTCTACCTCCTTTTATCTTCTCTTTTTCTCTTTAACTTTTCTCTATCTCTATCTCTGTCTCGGCTGCGTCCCCTGGCTGCGTGCAAGGGTGATGTTTAATTCTGTGCACCAGTGGAGTACTGCGTGTTTTTGTAATGTGTATGTTTTTGTAATATGTATTCTGCCAAGTACAATGTTGCCTCAAATTTGATTTACTTAAAAAAAAATTACTTAATTTCATCAACATTCATGGTATAGTTATTCATCATTGTTATTATATTCTCTTTTGTAAAACACACATTTTATTTCGCTGATATTATTATTTTTTGTCTTGACTCACTCACTCAAACTTATTTTTTTTAAATCTAAATCACTGATAACATATTTTCTATTGCTTTTATTACCTTCTAAATTTCTATTTCTTTCTTTCTCACAAAAACTGTAATGAACGGAACACTTTAAAATGAATAAATCCATTAATAACTCTTTTCCAGGATCTACGAAATCGAGAGTCGTGTAGAACCACCGCTTTGTTCCAGATCATATGAAATCGAGGGCAGAGCGGACACTCCGACTATGCTCAGATATCCGCTGTTTGAAACCATGCATTGGTACGCTGGGGCACACTTTCTCTCAATGCTCAGGAGACACAATGAGGAGTCCCTGGTGAGTTCGCTGTGGTCCAGATTCATATGTAAAAATCTACCAAGGACCCCTGTTGTGAACACTTACTTTTTAATCAGATGGTGTATGTCTATATGCTGGTAACTGAAAGTTTTGAATAGTAGTATGTGGTAGCCATGCTTGTAGTAGCTTCTGCTATTGCAATTGTCACCGTAATCCGTAGAACTACCACAGCCTTACAGATGGATGATGTAAAGTAGGAATATTAGAACTTTTCTTTTTCATTGACTGAATGAATTAATTCAGAGGCCCACATTCCCACCGGTTTGTAAAATATGGCAGAAAAAAGCCTATAATTTACTAAGCTCAAAAGTATAGGCTGTTACTATTTCCACTATTTCGGCTCTGGCTACCTCACTCACCAGACAAAACGCGAAAGTATTTGTTATACTTCCACTTTACGCTGGTCTCTGTGAGGTCATGGTACTTTCCCGGAGGATCCTGCCCATTCGTGCAACAGCTGAGGCTGTTGCACGAATGGGCCTACCACAGTCGTTACCATTGTTAGCAGGAGGTACATCTGATGTTTATTTCTGCTCTTGGGCATATATATACAACACCTGAGGGTTTGTAGATTCGTTGCCAATCTTCAGTCAATATGAACTCAATGAACCCTTCACACCAAGGTCCGGGCCGTTACATTGTCGAACGAGTGTGCCCGTATGGGCCATTCAAATTGTATTTGGAAGGTGCTTTGTGATATGAACGCGCCACGTTTCCAGGACGAGGAGTTCACCCCCAACGAGCTGGGTGCGGTGGGGTCGGTGGGTGGTGGTGGGGCGGCGCCACCAGCGCTGCTGCTGCGCGGGGCCCGCATCCTGGCTGCGGCGCTCAAGGAGTGGCACGCCCTCAAAGCGGTGGGTAGGGTTTGGCTTTATCACTGCCGGCGGAGGAGGAAGGGGACTTTTGACTTTTAAATGATGCGTCTACGCGTCATTTAAAAGTCGTGACTTTTAACATAGTTTTGCCGTTTTGAATTTTTACATATTTAGTTTTTTGGACCTGGTTGGTCGTCCAAAAACTAAATTTTTTAGAAATTATGTTTTTATTCATAAACTATTATTTTTTTTAATAAGTCAACGTGTGTGTAATTTATTACATATATCACATACTCTAACACATAAGCATAAAATGCTTTTTAACTATGTATATAAGTAAAAACAATACTAGAGTAAAATACATACAGGAAGTCCTGAAACGTCTTTTTCAAGTGAACAATGTTTTGACACTATCCCTCAAACATACGTCATTTGTTTCGATTTGGGGTGTCGGCGTGACCCCGCAATTTTTTTAATGGGACACCGGTCAATCCAGACGTAATAATACCCCTGTACTACTACTTGACTTTCTTATTGAACTGGAGGCCAAGTAAAAAAAGAAGCAATTGAGTCTCAAGAAATAGATTCTTCTATTAGTAACTCTGAAAAAGAACTAAAAAAAACTTTCCGTTTTGCAAATTTGGAGAAAGCCATGAAAATTTTTGAAGAAAATGATCCTAATTTTGAGAGAAGTTTTAACGTTATTTGTGCATATCAACCAAGATCTGTATGGAAATTTTTTTCTTTAATTAATTTGTTATTTCTTATTACATATTTGATACATTTTATTTTATACATTATTAAAATTAATAACACATAAATACCAACACAGCCATTTCATAAGTGCATATAAATTATTTTAAGAACTTTTTTGATACTAAAGTATCCTTTGTTAAAAGTTTTTTTTATTTTGAATCCGTGTGGAATACCCTAGAGTAAACATATGAAAAAATATGTCTCGACTTACGTCTTTTCGATTTACGTCGTGTATTTCGAGAACCTAACATGCCGTAAATACGAGGACTGCCTGTGTTTGTTTTTTTTTTTCAGTTATAAAATGCAGTTTAGACAAATTCTAAACTATATAAAAAATTGATGAAGGCTACTTAAAATAATATGAATTTTATAGGCGTTTTAGGGCAGAAACGGATGTGGATTGCTAATATCCTCGGAAGAGCCACATTCCTAGATAAGCTCTGGAATGGACTCTCATAAGGGCATAGGAAACGTGATTGTCTTAAGAACACCTGTGCATTCAGTGGCAGCAGAATTGAAATGAGAAAAAAAACAGAATGTGATGGCGGAGTACTATGGACATCCTCTTCCCCAATTAGGGCTCATAAATTTTAAGATGTACAAAATTTATACTTTTATTGAAAAACATACTAAACCTTAATAGAGTCTAAGACCATTACCCCGATAACAGACGGATGCCGCGAAACGGGACAACGTGCCAAAGTGCCTCAACTCCGGTCAGCTGGTGCGGGAACTGTCCAAAGAGCTGCGGACCCTGGAGAAGAGGACTATGAGCGCTAGCAAGGACAAGGTGAGGGCGGATGCAATGTGCCATGTGTCCTTGTTTAATTTAAATAGAAAGTGATTCACAATTGTCAACATCTTGTATAACTTTTATGAAGTATAATGTTGTTTAATGAAATGTGATCTTTGTCTATCACCAGTCCAGTGCAGTCTATTTTTGGCTAAGGTAGACTTAGTTACTGGCACACTACTAAGGGAGATGAAAATTAGAGGTTAAACTATTACTCTATTTTAAAGAGTTCTAAATAATTATTTCTTGTGAGTTTACTGGGTAAAACACCATCTTAAGAAAAAAAAGTATCCTAAAAGATATGTTATTTAAGTACTCTAGCCCAAAATATTTCAAGATTTTCTTCATCTCTTCCAAAAGTAGGACATAAACTGTAAAACACCATACTATGAATGACGTTTTCAGGACTTCAAGCCGAAAAACCACTCTCCCAACAAGAGCAGCAAGAAGCAGTCGGCCGCTAAGAAGTCTCTAAAGCTGACCCTGCCCAAGCCCATAATGCACATGGGCGACGAGTGCGCGGACGAAAAGGGCCCAACGCACGACAGGCCCGTCGCCGACAAACTCGTCGCCGACAAACTCATCGCATACGCTTACGAAGAGCTGCCCTACCACGAGGCGGATGCTTATGTGGAGAGGCTGGACAAGAAGACCCTGCGGCTCAAAATGAGGTGACTGTAAAGCTCATGTGATTTTTGTATTAAAAAAAGAGTAAGAGAAGTTGGCAGAGGAAGAAGTTACCGGTACGGAAGAAAGGTTCTCGAGTGGCAACCTGGTATTGGCCATCGTAGTGTAGGAAAGCATTACTATATTGAATCAGGTGGCCATTGGATGTAGGTAGCTCAGGGCCTTGCCTGGTGACAGTCTGTGGGAGGTTTCTGCTGAGCAGTGGACTCAAACAGGCTTTCATGATGATGATGTGTAGTATTCATGTAAATCACGTAAATATAATAAATCATTGAATGATATGATAGAGTTTTAAAGTTTTTTATAGTGCTAATCTCTGCACTTAAGATTGACAAGACTTCCCACAGCGGCGATAATATTTTCGTACTTTTTCTACATGTTTTAATAGATAATGATAGAGGATAGTGTTGTTTTCAAACATTTAGGCAGGCTAATTTGAGATGGAAAAAAAAAAGTTGTTCACCTGATAGCAGGCAATAACTATTAAGGACAGCCACAAATGCATAGGTTTTAAAAACAACAAAACCTTGTTGCTCTTTAGAAATGCCACTGACAAAATTACTGTTAAAGTGATTGTATTAAAGACTATTTAGACACAGATGATCTCACAAAGTTTGGATACGTCATTATCTTGGCTCAACCCATCTACAGCAACTCACCATGTTCGTCTCGAGAAGAGGCGCCACCTCCGTACTCCTTACCGGAGCACTCTATCCTCAAATCGCACCTGATCCGGGCTGACCGGACCACTCTGAAGCCCCTGCACCAGTGGACAATATCAAAGAAGGACATCGGCGACTACCACGAGGAGCAGATACTCTTCACCAACGAGAACATCCAGACAAACATGAGAATCGAGGGTCAGGATCTGAACTACGGGCCTGGTGAGTTGTCTAGTGGAATGGAGATCTTTCTTTAACTAAATCTTAATCAAATCTCTCATAAGTCTAGCATATTACCTTTCATAGCTGCAAGGTAATATGCTATATAACGCCATTATTCGGAAACAAAGTTGATGTGCAAAAATCCATTACCACTGTCTACCCCTTTGCATTAAAATAAAAAGCGATTCTTATTTTATTATTTATTTCCGCAAAGAGTAACTGTTTCAACTGCTTCTCCTATGTCTTTTTGTACCTTTACACTTTATTGTAGGCATGTACTCTGCGGAGGACATCCAGCAGGACTACCAGTACTCTGAGGGGGCGAAGCCCGGCTCTTACCAGCCCGAGTTCGCGTACCAGCCGGAGCTCCCGTACTCGGAGTACCACCGATACGACGACGCGGTCACCATACCGGTTCATCAGGTGGGCTCGTGGAAATGTTGGAACAGATTAAAAATTACGACTCGGTGGCACCGTTGCTAGGCTTTGCTTGGCTTCGGCATCGGGATCGTGGGTTCGATTCCCACCGAATATCCTCGCGTCACACCTTGTTCACTGGCCCCTGAGGAGTTGGGGGAGCGCAGGGATCGCCTGCGCACAATTGCCATCGGAGAGTGGGAACAGAGGCTGGGCACCCCAGTGCCGGCCTAAGAACCGTTGAGGCCCTACGTCTTGTCCTAAACTGTAGCCCTACAAGTAGCTTACTGCTCTGTTGTGAAATGTGTTGCGGGTAAACATTTAAATGTTCAACGTTTTATTAATATGCAATCAATATTCGAACGCTGTACCGGTGATCGACAGGCCGCGACGTACAGCACGGCTACTGAGCACACAGGCGGTTACGTCAGCGCCGTGGTGGAGGCTCCCAGCCACCACCACCACGAGCCGCACCACTCCCACCACGATAACCCGCTGCCCTCATACGACGCGGCAATCGCGCATCAGTACGCGGCCACCACCACCTATGTGAGTCTACTATCACAGATGTATATTGCATCATTTTGTATTTATTTTGTTTGGATTTTGTGCGGTTGGGTAGTAGGTCTCAAGGACCACTGCAATCTAGAAAGATTTATTGAAGTCAATATTTTTGTTTGTCCTGTAGACATATCTTAAATCTCATAATAATTTATGATTTTTTTTTATTCCTTAGTTATAGTTGGATTTAAGATTATTGAAAAAAAAAATTATAGTGTGTGTTGACCGTATTGTGAATTTAAACCATTCTTTAATGCACTTGAACACAGAACAACACACAGAATTTCATCGCAATTGGTCCAGTTGTTAAGGAGTCACATATACATAAATAAAAGAATTATAAATATATGATTTGCATTTCACTAAATAAAAACACAAAACGTGAGGCTATTCCAGTTTGGTCTGGTCATGGCTGGGTCATTTCTGTACCATGCTGAATTGTTTTTCTTTTTTGTAAAAATCTAGTGAGCTGGTCCATCTGATATAAAGTGATAACCGCTGCGCATAGACATTTGCGACACTCGTAGGCTTACAAATGTGTCGCCACCATTCAATATACTGGGCCACAGTCACCTCACTCACCACTCACCAGAGGAAGCGCAGAAGCATCACACTCAATTCACTCCGGTCTTCTGCGGAGTTATGACGATTGCCTTCGACTGAGCTGTCCATTCGTGTAACACCGAAGACTGTTATTTACAGTATTGTGCGCAACAGGTGGCGGAGGCGCCGAAGCCGAGCGGCAGCCCCGCCCCCTTGGCGGCGGCGGGCGCCGGCGGGGGGGCGGTGCGCCGCTCCGAGCGGGCCGTGCGCCGCCGCGTCTCCAGCACCTACGACTACGAGGACGGGGACCTGTTCATCGACGACGCGCCGGCGCCGCGCCGCCGCCGCCCGCCGCCCCGCCCCCGCGCCCCAGCCGCCGCCCCCCCCCGCCCCAGCCGGCCGCACCGCCCCTCGCGGCGCAGCACGCCCCGCCCCTCGCGCACGGTAACACTTGTTTGATATGTGTAATTGTGATGTCTGAATAAAGGCTATTAATATTATATGTGTCACTATGCTGAGATGTTTTCTTGAAGTTCACAAAATTATTACTTCAGTCGGAAATACTCAATATTCTGCCTTGCTGTCTTCAGTAGTCTTGAAGTGTCACATACGCTTCTACCAGATTAAACCTTTTCCAGCAGTTACCAACAACACCACAACAAACAGCTACAGGCAGACGAGGCCGGCACCAACTAATGGAATTGAATCTCTTATACAAGCCTCTGTCTTGGCCGAGGAAGAACAACCCGTCGATTCAACGTAAGTCCTTTTTTAGAAAATTCAATAATTGAATGAATAAATAAAAAATAGCATATGGATTAAAAGAAAATTCAGCAAAAGACATGAAATTAAATCGGCACGCAGCACGATTTGCCGATTTTCAGAACATACACTACATTTTATAATAAATAACATGCTAGAACTAAGATTAACACCAAGCGGGTACATTAATTCAAGGACAAAAACAAAATAACTACTAATTAAAATTTACATCTATAAGTATAAACCAGTGAACAGAAAAGAAAAACAAAACCTTCGAACGCTAACCTACCAAAAAGAGAAACAACAGCTACATGTAGGAATTAAGGTTTCCTAGAACTTGATATTAAAACACTTGATATAGTTTAAAACAACTGTATTATTGTCCGAAAATTAATAAACTACTTGATACTGATAAATGAGAACGAGTGACTAGCTTGATGACCGACATCGAACTGCGAACATAATGCCGATTATTTTACAATAAAACAAAAATGATGAGGCGTGCAATTGACGCCGTTTCGTAATTATGTCGAGCGTAGTTCGTAAACTACACATGTCTAGGATCTTACAAATTTAGTTTCTTTTTTATTTAATTAGTTTCAAAAAGTATTTTTATTTAATTATGGATTTTTTAACGTTTATATTTTTTATGATTAGTGGCAAGTAGTGTTAGACGTGTGTTCATTGATTGTCGCGATTGTAACGACACGCTGTATAATTAACATTATTCTTTACAAAAATATTTGATACAAACAAAACTGTCAACTTATGCATTTAGAATCAATCAATTTTATATGTTCAAGATACTATCTTAGTTTTTCAAAGAGATCCAAGGTTCCATGTTAGGTGTTTATTTAATGTTTGCATATAGAAACAGTGGATCTCTGTTAGGTCAAAAAATATACATCTAAACATTTTGTTGACTTGGGGACATAGGAGACATTTATTAAAAAGTTTAACCTATGTTAATAATTTTAAAAGACAAAATATTTAAATAGTTTAATCGTAAAAAACACTATTCTACATTGTTTTTAATTTTACTTTGTTCTTTCTTAAATTTAAGGGGACAGCAAAATAACATATTATTGTTGGTTCCCCCGAAGCCAACTATGCTGTGTACAGACCTTTCTCTTAATTACTTTTCAAAATTTTTGTATTCAAAGTGATAATAATTTATTTATAGTTGAAGAATATCTAATCTTATACTGTTAAAATTGTAAAGTTCACTGGTTACTTATATTGACAAAGTTAAAGACCTCTGTTTTTACTAAATCTGTGTTTTTGCTATATCAAGGACGGGCAGTATTTTGCACTGACTTCAAATGTACAGAGTTGCTGGTTACATAGGTTCTTACATACTATGTACAATGATAAATTATATATCTTGTTTCAGTGAGGATGCTGCAGTTGCTGGAATGCTGAGCATAAGTGAGAGGTACACCGCCCCATCCAGAACATTTGGTTTGGCCGCTGACACTCCTCACAGACCAGCAACCAGCAGGCATGAGAGGTAACTTAATATATACGGTTGGCCATAGTAATTGACGGAAGCGAGATAGAACGTCATATGTGTGACTCCAATGAAATTGTTTTTGTTGATGAGCAATTAAGCAAGCATAATTTATACAGGGTGGCTTTTCTAAAGGTGCCCAAATTCAAACCGGAGGTTCAGACTCGGTAGTATAAGCATTTATTGAAATAAAAACAAACTATTTTTTTTAAATTGCCATTCCATTCCCTAAAAAACAACTTGTTGACAATGCGGTAATCATTCATAAATGCGTCGAATACTTTTGAAACGAACTTGTGTGCGTGTTGGTTATGAATGATCGAATTTTGAGATAAGTTGAAATGAATGTATTTAATTAATTACAAGTGATTTTAAATATACAGCGTGTCGTTATCATCGCGACATTAAATGAACACCCGCATAACGCTACTTGCCAATAATCATAAAAAATATTAACGTTAAACAAAATCCATAATTTAAAAAAAATATTTTTCAAACAAACTAATTAAGTAAAAGAGAAACAAAATTTGTAACATCCTATACAACTCGCGCCACAGCGTCGTATTACAAGCATCTCCTTCTATCAGTATGTTTTGTCTCTTTTAAATTCATTCAATCCATTCATATGCTCTTGTGACCTTTACAAATGAACTTTACGTTACGCTTTTATAGGTAAGGGTGTTCTAAAATTCTTTGATTTGGAAAATTTAATAACTCTGTAAATATTGATGTTTAAAGAATTTTAATGTTTAATACAACTTTAAAAAGTTATCCCCTATATGTGTGTTCATTTATTGTCGCGATGGTAACAACACACTGTATATCACTTTTTATATAACATTACATGTGTCTAGAATTTAAAAAAAAATGGATACACTTAGAAAAGCCTCCCTGTATATACTAAATGGAAAAATATGTCCAGGCTATTAATATGTCTCAATTATAATATACAACAATACATTGTGGATAACAAGGTGTATGCAAATGACTTTTGTGTTGGTTTTCTCTCTATTTTAATATTGTTTAGGAAAACTGTTGGGATTGTGTAGCACTTGTCAAACAAAACAATCAAGTTGAGTGGCCTCGACAGAATCCTGCACAGGATTGCTCATATATATTACCCGAGTAGGAATCCGCCCTCTAACATTGCTTAATCATAATCTGGTCGGAATACTCACGTGAAGACTGGAGACTACGTCAAGAATAGTGAAGAAGATAAACATCATTATAATAGTTTTTTTGTCAAAGCAAAAACATTTAATTGGTCTTTGAATTTCATCGAGACACTGCACATGCACAGTTCTTGGGTACCGAAGGGATTTCGATCGACTTGCACAGAGATAGTATTTCCATCTTTTTTTGTCTCGCTCTGACATTTCTTGGACAGACATGAGTGACATTTTGATTTAAGATTTTTGTACTCTAGCACTCAATTAGACTTAATGCAGGCATGTGTTTATTTTTGAGAATTATAAATGTACTTAAATATTAAATAATGTTGCAGCAGCACAGGTCATGCGAGCAAACGGGTCCGGAAGTCAACTGTGGCAGTGAGCAGTGCTGACGAGGACTTTGCCGATGAAGAGGACATCATCAAGGAGGTGCACAGGGATGAGGAATATGGTAATGATTACATTAAAGACCTATAAACATGTATATACCTATAGAAAGCTAAAAACTATGAATAGTCTAACTGAGAAAACAATTATACATTATATTCAGATAAGACTTAGTTGGACTATTTTTTTTACCATTGTTTGATGAAGAAACACGTATACAATATATTAAACTCCAGTTGAACGAGTCTGGAGCGATCAATTAATTAATACAAAAACATTCCTTTGTATATTTTTTTGAAATTAGAAACTGATATGTTCTGAATCTTTTCTGGGATTCCGTTGTTAAAACGTGTATATTGTCCCATATATGAATTACTTATTCTACACAGTCCAGTTGTGATCAGGATTAATTTCTATATTCATAGTATTTATATCATACAGGATACAATGTCTTTAAAATTCATTCTTATGTCTATGGACATATATAACATTTTAAAGTATGTACTGTGTATTTAATCTTTATATAGCATAAAGTTGCTCCCGTTGTTAGTACTCTTAGATCTTTTAAATAGTGTAATGGATTTTAATGTAATATTCAGCAATAATAGACTGATTCAAGAGGATGTTTATATGTACAATGCAGTGCTGTATGTAATCGTGTCTGAGTTTATGAGGAGAACGTAAGAGAAACCTTTCGACGGCAGTGTACCCGTCGCTGGAGATGAGCTCGGACGAGGACGAGGAGTGGACGGCGTCGCGGCGGAGGCGCCACTCGCGGGCCAGGAACGACTCCAAGACCAGGAGTGACAAGTGAGACCTGTTCTGTTGTACTTTGTGCGGAGGGGCTCGGCCAGTAAGTCCCAATGACCACCGCTCCTTCGTTTCTATTGTATTTTATGTGGAACGGGTAATGAGCTTTAAATATCTTTTTTTTAATTTATTTAATCCAGTAATAAAGTACAATAACATGAATTATTCTCTGCCAAACTGTGATGCAGTTTGTCGGCAGCAGTTCTCGTGAATAGTTACATCGATGTACTTCAACCTTACTAAAATGACACCTATGTAAAATCTAGAAAAGTATTTTAGTTCTCTTTTCGCCAATATTGCCCCCGTAGAATAACATTGCCCGTTTTGTACCATTTACATACACGAGTTAGATGTGGCCTAAAACCGAGGTACAGAAACAAATGTCTGTGTCTTATACAAATAGTTCCTCTTGGCGATCCCGGCGCCGAAGCCAATACCTTGGCGACTGTGCCACGGAGTTTTTTTTTAATGAGAGAAAGTGGCAAACGAGCACGGTGGCAGGTGAGCCGGTCGTTCACCTGATGTTAAGTGATAACCGCTGCACATGGACATTTGCAAATTTGCAGATGTGTTGTTGACCTTTTAGAAAAACTGGCCCGGCTACGGCTCGCTCACGGAACGAAACGCACAAGTGTAACACTTCCACTTGATACACTTCCCCGGACAACGCGTGCAATAACTCCGCGTGGCATTTGCAGGGACGAGGCGTGGTCGCCGCGGGCGCGCGTGGGCCGCGTGGCGCCGCGGCTGCGCGGGCCCCCGCGGCCCGCCGTGCGCCGCGAGTGCGTGCGCGCCGCGCTGCTGGCCGCCGCCCACGCCCACGCCCACCCCCCCCCCCCCCCCCCCGCCGCCCCGCCCACGCCCACGCCCACGCCAGCGCCCACGCGCACGCGCCCTCGCACCCCGCCGCCCAGGTACGACCAGCGTTTCGACTGACTCCTCGATGAGCATCGCACGCGTAAGAAGTTACGCTTTGTTAGTATATAAGTGGGTATTTTAATAATGACTTCACCCGGCGACGCTGGATTCGTCAATTGCCTGTTCTATATGTATCGATCGGTTGTTCGTTAATTTAAATACAGCACTCGACTAGTTAACTGCTTTTTTATTCTCTCGTGCCCCGTGTTGCGAACCAACACACTTCTTTAGTGTAAACAAAAAAAAAATAACCAAAAATTCTATCAGTACTCTCTGTTGGTGAGAAAATTGTTAAATGGAATAGATATTAATAAAAGTTTCGGTATCAATCATAAAAACAAAAATATCGATGTTTTTAAAAATTGTTAAATGAATGGATCTAACGATATAATTAAACGACTTGAAATTTTATATTAAATGTCAAATACAACAACTATTCGATGTTTACCTATTGTCGAGGGAAGTCCATCGAAAGTAGACGCGACTTCGGATGAAATGAGCGAGTAACCCAGTGTGGGTTGCCACTTGCCATTACCATTTGTTACCATTGCCGCACTTATAATTAAATGAATTGCATAAGCGGCAGACGACTTCAGAGCAAAGACTGGCGGTGAAAGTGACAATTAATTTAAATTAATCAAATGAACGTACGACCAGATGAACGCGAAGCGAGCCGTGCTGGCGGCGAAGAGCAAGCGGCCGCCGGTTCCCGCGCACACCCACGCGGCGCCCCCCAAGGCCAAGTGCGCAGGTGACCACCCAATCCATCACCACCCACCTTAATCAGAGACTTAATCGAGTCCCCCCCCTCCACTCCCTTCCATCCGTCAGCGGTCTATTCGAGGATCCAACTACATTGAAACGGCAAACTCTGCCTTTACACCCCCCCCCCCCCCTCCCAACCCCCTCCCAACCCCCCATCAAGGGTCCATTCGAGGCTCCGGCTCAAATTCAAAATTCGAGTTCAGATGTCTTTTATCAATATGGAAGCATTACACATAATTATTGATTGTCAAAAAAACACTACTATCGGTTCGAGATAAAGAAAAGCTACAAGAAAAAAATCTGTCCTGCCCCCCTCCTCCTATCCATCCGTCAGCGGTCTATTCGAAGATGCATCTAACTGTGGCAGGGCCACGCAGCATTGTCCGCTGTTGCACGAACGGCTATTAAACTATTGCGTGCGACGCCTAAGGCTACGTCAGTACTTACCAACCGCGCAATATTTCTCAGTGGGGATCGAACCCACACCCTATAGTGCAAGAGGTTTATCCACCATGCCAGCCGGTTCCTATAGCTAATAATCCCATCTAATCGCCACTCTCTCTGTTACAGACATAAGACTGAAAAAGGGCATGAAGACGGCGAAGCAGAGGCTGGGCAAGATCCTGAAGCTACACAAGATGATATATTAGGATAGCGTTAACATAGCGACATAGCATATTGTACTGTATATGTAGGTGCTTAGCGTTAGATGTGCGGACGTAATGTATATTTTATATATGTATTTAGCACACGGACCAATGTACGTTCACAACGGACGTAGATATCGTACGGCTTATGCCACAGTTGCCGCAGTCCATGAAATGTTTCGTTTCGCGCTGTCCACAGTTCGATTCCCGCGTCGCTTTACACGGATAAAGCCGCGAGCGTTGTGCATAATAAGATTTTTCGTAATCACCGCCGTCCGTACTCTATAGTATGGCGTCGGACACCTTATGTATTAGATAATATTTCTTTGCATTTCACCCTAGCAACATTACCGTTGAGTATACATAAATGGCGAGGAATCGATAAATGCTCGCATAGGGATGTGCTTGGTTGCGTATCGATATATATATAACTACGTATGCACTAAGCACATCACTAGTTATGAACATGTAACGAGCATGAGTTCTATGGTCTGAGAACTCTTATTTGGAATGAATGAAAACGTCTAGAACTTTGTATAAAATGTTATGACGTTTTTTTTTTTCATATGGCGCATTAACATGATAAGTTTTCTTTGACATTGGTTTTACTGTTATTTAAATAGTGGCAACACTTGTCACGCCTGTTTGGATGACATTATCTATAACTTATATATATGGTATCAAAGTAAATTTTTAACATAGCTATATTGTCTCAAAATATAACGTATTGGATATGATATGTGTAAGGCTGGCTCCACACGATATCATCCATTTAAGTTTCTCCGCGATTCAATATATTGACTTGTAGTTTGGATATAACATTAGAAAAATCAAATTAAAAAAAAATCACGCAGGCAGCAGATTTGATTGTTCTTTTAACGGCAAAGGAGATTTATAATGTTGCCGCTGTTGATATATGTGACGCGCCAAATTCGTCTCTTATGTTGCCAGAGTGAAATGCCATCTTTTCCCTTAATGCACTCTTGACCATTGGCTACGTCCATTCCGGCCCGATTTTGAACTCTTTAAACTTAGGGCACGTTGTTGTGTCGTTTTGCCACTTTACTCGCGGATAAGAAACTAAAATTGTTTTAAGAAAGTCAATAAATAAAATATTTTCATGTCCCTAAACGTCATTGATCTCAAGGTACTGAGTTATTGGCGAAATTATTGTAGGGAAAAAAAATCGCCCAAGTGCGAGTCCGATTCCACACGGAGGGTTCCGTACCATATCTATAGAAACGGCAAAAAAATCATGTCTGTCTTAGTAATAGGGTCCCGTTTTACCCTTTGGGCACGGAATTATATATGGTGGTTTTTTAGACGAAGTACATACTTTGACATAATGTTAATTGAGCATTCCATAATACAAAAAATATTAATATTTTATTTTGACAAGAAATAAACAGAAAAATATCAATTCAAAATTGTTTGTTTATCCCGTTAAGAGTGGTCACCCTATTGATAAGCGGTTGAGTTATTATGCGTTCAGCGAAAAATTCCAGTGCTCGTCAATAGGTTATTGTATTGAGACGGTAAGAAAAGAATTTCTTAAGATCCATAATGTTTGAATAAAATTAAATCTTTGAAAAAAAAATGAGGTCACAAGTACGCACCAGATTCAGATTTAGAATCAAATTCTGCATATGATCTGTTAATTTGTCCGTCGTCTATAAAATCATCCTGTATACAGGGAGGCTTTTTAAAGTGTTTTTTTTATTAAATTCTAGACAAATAATGTTATATAAAAAAATATTTAAAATCACTCGTGAGTATTTAATTACATTAATTTGAACTTATCTCAGAAAGTGCGCGATTTATGGGCAACTCATTTATTTTACGCGCGATCATTCATAACTAACACGCACACAAGTTCGTTTGAAAAGTATGCGACGCATTTATGAATGACTATCGCATTGTTAACAAGTTTTGTTTTTTAGGGAATATAATTGCAATTTTTTTTTTTTTTAGGAAAAAAAGGTTGTTTTTATTTCAACAAACGAAACTGCCGAGTCTGAATCGCCTGTGTGAATTTGGGCACCTTTTGAAAATAAAAAACTACACTTGACAAGTACTTCATTCTCTCTCTATACGGAATACGGAACCATTTGTATGCTGGTCCGAATCGCACTTGGCCGGTTTCTAACTGTAAATTGGGTGCGACCAAAAATGCCAAAATTCGGTGCTTTGTGACTTGACAAAAAGAGGTTCTATTACATTCAAAACCAAGTACGTATTAGATGAGTTCAAGTATGTATGAGATCTGAGAGATTGGCCGTTTTTTTTTGCGTCTTTCGTTGAACAGTTCAATCTGGTCACTCACAGCGTGAAATATTAATGAATTAACTGTTCACAGATTCAAAATAACTTTATTCAAACAGACGCTTACAAGTTCTTATGAAACGTCGAATTTTACATGAAAATTGATACATAAGTTAGTAAGTTATCACCAGGCGTCTCGTTTATATACGACTTATTTTTTTATTTGTTTACGTCCTGTTAAGTTTTGTCGTGTGACGCGAATGTCTTTATATTTCTATTATAGTCTATTTCATATATGGTTCTGATTAGTGTGGCCGGAATGATGTACACAATGTAGTAAATTTACATTTTTGACTTTGAACACGATTAACTTTTGTATTTGTATCGTAATGTATTTCTTTATATTACATTTGTTACGTTGAGTTGTTTAATTGGCTTTATTGTAGAAGGAAACGAAGTTAACGAGAGGTTTGATTCGCTAATTATAAGGGTTTTTATATAATTCTTGTACTTTATATAATACGGAAGAGTTGGAGAAGTGGCGGTAAATGTGCGTTCACATCATACTGGTGATTTTTTTCACATAAATTTAAAACTATACAATGTTAGCCATACAAATGGCTGGTTTGTATGAGTTCCGCTGAAGCGAACCAACCGTTAACCATACAAAATATTCCAGGCACAGAAATAATTGTCAGAGAAATTTGTTTTTTTCACTTAATCCTGACCTTAAAACGATTTTCCTGTGCGGATGTAATTTTATTATTTGTCTAGTTTGTGTCTATGCTAACTACGTATACTTTAAATTGATACATTTGTGTGAGCGCACCTTTTCTACTTATCCCTAAAGATCTGATGTGTTTTTAAATAAAAGTGAACTCTGTGACTAAGGCGTAAGGGCGTTTTTACAAGTGCCCTTAGACGCATCCAAAAGATTCTTCACCAAATCGAACGAGAAAGAAAAATGTGAAAAGAAAATCGTCTAAGAGAAAAAGAAAAGAGAGTATAATTATGCATTTTCTTAATAACCACCCACCTCCGATTACCTTAAATGTAAATAGTTGAATAGAAAGTGGAGAGATAAACGAATATTGCTATAATATACGGCTTACACCGCTTAGTGAAGTCTGTAGTTAAGTTAGCCGCATAAGTTTCCCGTTTTCTACCGATGTGTTTGGTTCTGCGTCACGTTTTTTTTTTCGTTGTCGACTGTACACAGCGGATTTGCCGTTCGCTGCACCAACGGAGCTGGTGGCAACAGACCTTGGGGTGAGATCGCCGCAGCTGGCCTGTGGATGTGTGCAATTTGTCCTGGGTCTTCGGAACTGGTCTGTCTATTCT